CCTTCCTTGCAGTAGTGGCACAAGGTCCCATGTTTTATTTTTATGAAGGGCTTCAATTTCTTCTTCCATTGCCATCTTCCACAGTGAAGCATCTGAGCTGTTTATTGCCTCCTGGAATATTGATGGCTCACCGTCCTCTGTTAAAAGACAGTATGCAATATTACCTTCTATAATATAATCTGAGTGCCAATTGGGACATCTTCTCACACGATCTGATTGACGAGTTGTTGGAGCTTCAGAACTCTCTGGTTCTTGTTCATCATATGCTGGTTCTGCTTCAAAAGAATCTTCTTGTTCAAACTCATTTTCCACTTGTATCTGTGTAGTCTCTGACTTTTCAGTGCTATCATCTTTTTCTTTTCTTTGTAGTTTATCTTCTACAAAGATAACATCTCTGCTGATGATCACTTTGCGGGCAGTGGGATCCCACAAGCGATACCCCTTTACTACATCAGCATACCCCAAGAATTTGCATTTCTTAGATTTTGGATCAAACTTTGAAATTTCTTGGGAGTTGTACATCACGTACACAATACTTCCAAATACATGGAGGTTTGAATAATCAGCTGGTTTACCATTCCACATCTCAATTGGTGTCTTCAGCTCTATTGCAGTTGATGGAGCTCGATTCACCAAATAACAGGCGGTATTGACTGCTTCTGCCCAGAATGATTTTTCTAGGCCTGCATCCCTCAACATTGCTCTTGTTCTTTCTAACAAGGTTCTGTTAATCAGCTCTGCCACTCCATTTTGTTGAGGAGTGTTCGCCACTGTGAACTGTCTTTTGATGCCTTATTTCCTGCAAAAGTCATCAAATTCTTCGCTTGTGTATTCTCCTCCATTATCTGCTCGGAAACATTTGATCTTATTTCCAAAATCAAGTTCCACCCGCGCTTTGAAGTTTTTGAAAGTTGAAAACACATCTGACTTCTTCTTAATAGGGTACACCCAACATCTCATGGAGTAGTCATCAATAAATGAGACAAAATATTTTGCTCCGCCTAGGGATGTAACTGGTGCTTGCCATACGTTAGAGTGAACCAATTCTAAGACACTTTTTCCTCTAGAATTTGATGTGTTAAATTTCAACCGGTGTTGCTTACTTGTTATGCAATGCTCACACAAAGTAAGTGATACCTTTGTTAAGCCTGAAAGTAGCTTTTGCTCAACAAGGACTTTAATTCCTTGTTCTGACATGTGTCCAAGTTTCTGATGTCATAGCATTGCAGAATCTGAACTACATGAGGCAACAGAGGCTTTTGCTTCTAGCAAAGTCTCTCCCTTCAGCATGTACAAGTTTGCTGCTATCTTTTCGCCTTTCATCACCACAAGTGCTCCACGGAACACTTTCATGATTCCTTTCTGTGTTTTAATCTTGTTTGCATTATTATCCAATAATCCGTAGGATAATAAATTTTTCTTCAGGCCTTTCACGTGTCGCACATCTCGAACAACTTTAATTGTTCCATCATACATCTTCAATTTGATGGTCCCTATGCCAACGATCTCTAAGGCATGATCACTGCAATTATACACAGATCCTCCTAAGACAGGTTCATAATGATGGAACCATTCTCTTCTTGAGGTCATGTGATATGTTTCTCCCGAATCAATGATCCATATATCTGTAAATATTTTTCTGCATTTCACGGTGGTTGACGCTTCACAACATAGAGCATCTCCATCATCTGAAGTGTTTGCGGTATTGCCTTGTGGATTGGAGTTTTTATTTAGACTCTAACAATCCTTCTTCAAGTTACCCTTCTTTCCACAGTTGTAGCACTTTAAATTCTTTTTGCTTATCGACTTCGATCTACCATGTTTGTGACTGCTACTTTGGCCATATTCTGTTGATCTCCCTCTCATCTTTGTCAACGCTTCTGCTTGTTGCAGATTTACTTTTATGTCTTCCTTGTTCTTGCGATGATTTTCTTCTTGTAGAACAGCAGTTGCAACGTCATCGAAGATTAGACTGGTGACATTACTGTTTGTAAAGTTGATGATGAGTTGATCATACGAATCAGGTAGACTTTGAAGTAGAAGTTCAGCCCATTCTTGTTCTCATATTGTACATCTTAAGGATGTAAGCTAAGAAAATAAAGTGTTCAGTGTGTTTAAGTGCTCCGTCACTGAAGTAGATTCTGGCATCCAGAGAGTGTACAATTTCCTCTTAAGAAAAATTTTATTGTGCAACGATGTGGCATCGTACAGTTTAGTGAGATGATCACATATCTCCTTAGTTATATTCTTCTCCTCGATGCTTGACAATACTTTATCTGTTAATGCTAGATGAAAGTTTGTCATAGCATTATCATCCATTTCGATCAAATTGTTATCATCTATAAAATCTATCGGCCTTTCACTGATAGTTGCTAGACAACCGTCTTTCCTCAGGATGGCATTCATCTTCAATTTCCACAATGAAAAATTTCTCCCATTGAACTTTTCAATATCAAATTTTGTTGCCATAGCTTCTATTACGGATAGCTCCCACTATTTCACTATCGTGAATAGTTCTCTGGAACCTTCAAAGAATGAGTAATAACTTCTTACTTTCTTATGTTGGATGATCCACCTTTTGGTGGCAACCACAAAGACAATAAGTAGATATTACACACTCTAATTTGGCTCTGATGCCAATTATTGCAGAAGACGACTATCGAATAGAGCAAAATTGCAACTGATAATTTGAGAAAATAAATATGAAAATAAAATAGACATAAATTTTATGTGGAAAACCCTAAATAGTATAGGGTAAAAACTACGGGCAACGATAGAAGAATTTCACTATGAGAAAATAAGAATTACAACTTCTCTCGATCCACCAAGGAGAAAACAATGATAATTCTCTCTCGATAAAAAGGAGAAAACAACTCTAAAAAAATCTCTAAATTCTCTAGTATTGAGAGAAAGCTAGAATGATTTAAGATGGTTTTGAAGCTAAATGAGCTAGGGTATTTATAGTTAAAGCTTAAGGACTAATCTTATAAATACCCTAAAGTACAATGACTAAATTATGATTTTATCATTATAAAAAAAATCAACAATTACAACCAATTGTTGACTCCACCATTCGGTGGAATTGTTTATTTTGTTTTCAACATTCAGTGGAAATCTTTTCCAACTTTCGGTGCAAGTTGGTTCATCGAAATTCAATTTTCAACAGATCTGAACACTAGTTATACTTCGAAATATAGATTTCCTCGGGCAAACCCTAAAGATAAGAGAATATTCACATAGTTTACCCTTTTTTCAGTTATTGTGATTCTTGATCATATTTTGTTTAATCAATTGATCAAAACTAACAGCATTAGAAGAAAATAACAAAAAAAAATTAAAAACATTAGAGATTAAAAGACCTATTAGAGTATAGGGATTAAATTTATAATTTATGCAAACTATATGGTTAGATAACATAATTTGACCTATCAGAATAACAAACTCCAATTTTTCAAAGAAAAAGGGGGTAAATTGAGTATTTAGTATCGAAGCTATCATTTTTACCCGTTTTAGCACATAAACTTAACGTGTTCAGTAACTAAATTATCAGTTTCGGTCTGTTTTAATATCTAAACTTTCAATCTTTTCAAAGCTTAACGTTAAATTTTGAACGAGGGTACTAAAATGAAATAAAAACTAATGTTTTTGACGATGAAGTACTAAAAAAAACAAATACTAAACTTTAAGTATTATTTTTAAAAATTAAAAGTTTAAATACTAAAAAAATCAAAACTAAAAGTTTAAGTATTAAATATATAATTTATCAAAACGGAAAAGCCATAATTGACTCGGAAATTTGCTTTCTCATAATTCACAAACCGAGTCTCAGTTTGCTATCTTAATAAAAACTCGATAAATTTAAACACTATAGCCGTTTAATTCTCGAAATTCCAAGCAGTACTCGTTCATCTCGGCGGTGTCCATCTCTTCGAGGATCCTCGCCTTTCTCTTCGCCGGGATCGGCGCCGTCAGCCCGAAGCTGATATAATGGCCGGAAACCGCGTTCAACGCCGAGTAAATCTCACGGAATGAAGCTCTCCCCAGCAAAGATTTCCCCCTCCTGTACTTCGCCACCCAGCTGTTCGACGTATCTCTGAGCCCCGCCACCGCCGCCGCCACGTTGGGGTCGTTCTTGTCCATGTTGATCGTGCTCCAAACCTTGCTGATGACGTCGGAGGTTTCTTTCACGTACTCCTCGTCTTCGGCGGCTAACGCTATGCAATAGAGCAAATTTAGTTAGTAATGTAATCCCTAATATTCCAAAATCCATGGAATCATTTAGACTATTTTTTAAATAAAAAAGTTAAAAGACTTAATTCATGAAATTAAAAATATAGAGACTAAAATTTAAAAGCACAAAGATTAAAGGACTGGTGGAATAGTTAAACCAAACAAAGACCAACATATATTCGTGGGTATACTTCGTATTTAGCATCTAAACTATCAATTTTAGTTCATTTTAGTATATAAAATTTTATTTTTTTTAAAAATCATACCTAACGTTTAGTTTTTGTTTCGTCCTAGTACCCGCCGATAAAAACTTAACGTGTTTAGTACTTAAACTATTAATTTTGGTCCGTTTTAGTACCTAAAGTTTCAAATATTTTCAAATTGTAACGTTAAATTTTGAACGGGTACTAAAGTGAAACAAAAACTATACTTTAGGTATAATTTTGAAAAATAAAATATTTAGGTACTAAAAAGGATCAAAATGAATAATTTAGGTTCTAAATGCATAATTTATCCTATATTCATAGCAAAGCAAGAACTAATTGGCCCAAAAATGAAGCCCGTTTCTCAACTATAATTTAAAATACCCAGCCGCGGCCCGCCAAATTTTCTCCGCCATATTTTCTCTACAAACAAAGAGAGACACTCTTCATTTCCAAAAATAAACTTAACATCAACCAATTCCTTCGAATCCGTCTCTCAATTTTTACTTTTTTTGTTTAATATAGTGTATCTGTTTCCAGTGTAAGTAATTTCATCTTTTTTATTCAATGAGCGCTTTCGATGAGGACGCCGTGAATCCTTTCTCAGTAAGCTCCGTAATCTCACGTATTGTTTACGAATCCGTAATCCGTGTATCTCACTTTCTATTAATTGAAACGACTGGTTGTGGATTTGAAAATGTGTTCATCTGTTTCCTTGTTCGAGAGATTTAGACAATCGGTTGGCCTAAGTGTTAGATCTGTTTCATTTCCGATGCCAGTATTTACTTTGTTTCGGGATGGAATTTATTGTGTTCCATGATGTAGTTCTAGTTCTAGTGGCGACTGTGTTTGTTCGGTGATGAGCTACGAATTGAAAGAAACTGAATGTTGAGAATCTCGTATTGCCGTTTTCAGAGCTGTTCGTTTTAAACATAGTCAAGTAATATGAATTTATGACTGAGTTTGTCCTGAGTAGAACAAGATAAATAAGAGTCATGGATCATGGATCGTTTTGGTGAATATTATGTACTTGTTTCCCTTAGGCTTGACTACAAGGAACTTTGACCTGGTATCTCCTGAAAATGGTGATTTAGCTTGTGGAGTTCTTGATTCTTTTTTGGCTCTCGGTCACCTGTGCGTTTCCATTTGGCTTTTTGCAGAATTCATCAGTTAGGAAAAGTGAGGCTGACAATTATGGTACAGTAAGTACATTTCCCTTACAAAAAGTTTGATACTGGTAGATAGAGTGTGGTTAACATATTGAGCTCTTATTTAGTTGTTTATGAGACTACAATGCATAGGTTGGTTGTGATGACTGGTTAAAGGCAATCGTTGGTTAACTCATGATGGTCATGCTTTGACTTGATGCTAATGAATATGGTAATGGAAATGCCTCGAACTTTTAGTGTTCTTACTCTTAGAATCTTAGTGGTGGTTGTTACTCTTAATAGTAACGATAGTAGTACCGAAATTCTTTTCTTACTTTTCAAAATTTGCAAAGGAACGCTTTTGGCGATGTTTCTTGCTGTGTGATTGTTTGACTGATTCTGGTGTGACTTTCTTACTTTCTTATCTGTGAACATACAGTTTTGCATGAGTTGTGTTTCTGTATGCATGATTTGGTGACCCTTTCTAGTGCTAACTATCTTGCTTGATCTTTTCTTATATATATGTATATATTTTTTAAAAAAATCTAGACTCTAGGTAGCGTTCCACCTGCTATATCAAGGCTTTCACCCCTTCCTCCTGAATCGTATGAACGTGGTGCACCAATAGATATTCCTCTTGATACTTCTGCCAAGGTTTCCTAAAATTTTCCAGATATTTAATAGTCTCTTATGCATCATGGTTCTAAACATCCTCTTTAAGCAAAAGAATCCCTTTCATCATTTTTGTCTCATCGGTTGTAGAGTTTAAAAGAAAAGGAGAAGGAACTTCGAGAAAAAGAGGCTGAACTGCAAAGCCTAGAAGAGGTGATTTCTTGTTATTTGTTTATTTATACATGAGCAAGACACTTCTCCAAAATAATTTAATTACTGGCACCTTGGCATTAAAATTCAAAACCATGTTTCTTTATATCAATTTAATTCAATATTTTAGTTTAAGTTATTTCTTTCTATGTGAATACTTGTAAAATATTTTAGTTTTCATGCAGGATCTGAGAAGGAAGGAGGAAGCACTTGCCCGATGTATGTTTTTCCTTTTGCTTTATTATTGAAGACTTAATGTGCTTGTGCATTATCTGAGTTCACCATATATTCTTGCCTTTGTCTTGCCAGCTGGAGTAGAAATAGAGGAGAAAAATTGGCCGCCATTCTTTCCTATTATTCATCACGACATTGCAAAGGAAATACCCATCCACCTGCAACATATGCAATATGTTGCTTTCACGACATTGCTAGGTGAACTAAGATTAAGGATTTCTACTTTGAAATAACTCAAATAAGTTCTGAAATCAATAGTTTAAGTGGGACTTTGCTTGGAATTAGTTTTGGATTCTTTTATTAGTTCAGCCCATCGTTCTCTGTTCTATGTTTTTCCTCTCTGCCTCTCTTTTTTCACATATAAACCTTAGGTGAGCCTTTTAGTTAAAATGACTGAATGCTAAATTGTTACGGTGCTCTATTACATCGACAGGTTTGCTTCTGTGCCTTACATGGAATGTAATAGCTGTTACTACAGCCTGGATCGAAGGACAAGGTGGAACCTGAAAGTCACTCATTTTAGTACCTACTCGTTATTGTTAATTTGGTGTTTCTAATCATATTATGAATGCATATATTCATTCATTCCAGGTCCAATAATTTGGTTACTTGCCATCATTTATTTGATAACTGGGGTTCCCGGAGCCTACTATGAGTGGTATTGGCCTCTATATCGTGCCATGAGGTACCACTTTTCGGTTATTCTATATCAGTTTCATATTTAAAGTTGCATCAATATTTGCTAAAAGAAATCTGTACTATCAGTCTATATTTACAGCAATCTTCTAAGTGTCTATAGCCTGGAACTCTTCAAAGATTTCACTTATGCTTCAGCCAATGTTTTGGAAATGCCACTTGCAGTACACACTTCGCTCACTCAATTTTTAGTATGATTTTATATAGTTATATTTCTGTTCGTTTACAGGACTGATAGTTCATTCAATTTCGGATGGTTTTTCTTGTTTTACTCGGTAAGCATACTGCTTTCTCACTGTAATTGTTGTTAGTAATCGAAAACAAGTCATAAATCCCCTCATTTCCGAATCTTTTGTTTTGATTTGCAGTTCCATGTCGCCTTTTGTGTCTTTTCTGCAGTTGCTCCTCCATTTTTTTTCAGGTGGAACTCTTTAACGTAAGTTAACCTTTTTCCTTCCTATGCAAGTCTGCTCGTCCGAACATTCGGCCACATTTCGTATTCTGTGGTTCTACACTCGTGGACTGATGTCATTATGGTGTGTTATTCTTTGTACATGGTGTTAGGAAAAATAAACCGAGTACAAGTAATTTCCCTATAACCAGATCAGTGAGAATGTGAAATAAAAGCGGAAAAATAATACCCGAAAATTGATAACGGAGTTCAGCCAATTGTGCTTACATCTCCGGGCTGCTGCAGATCTTTTACTAAGAGAGAAAATTTACAGGTGTTTACAAAACACTCACTACTCACAAGAAAGCTCTCTAGTATAGGAAGAAAGAAATGTTTTGGGATGATTTTGAAGCTAAATGGGTAAGGGTATTTATAGTAGAAACTTAGGGACTAATTTTTGAAAATACCCTAAAGTGCAATGACTAAAGTGAATTTACCCATTCCTATTTTCAACAAACATCTACCAAAATTTTACCAAACTTTGAAAAACATTTTTCAAAGAAACATTTACCAAACTTTGAAAAAACATTTTCCAAAGTTGGTTGCCAAACTTTGAAACTTTTAACAATCTCCCACTTGAAGACTGATTTTAATATGTCTTCACACCTCGATCAATGCAGCAGCATGTCTGGTCTTGTTATTCTAGCATGCCAACTGAAGCTGAACACAACTTCAGTTTGTCCGTAGTCACTGTCTTTGTCAACATGTCTGCCGGATTTTGAGCTCCACTAATCTTTTCAAGTTTCAAAATCCCATCTTCCAGAAGAGACCGGATAAAATGATATCTCAATTGTATGTGCTTTGTCCTGGAATGAAAAGACGGATTCTTTGCTAGATGGATAGCACTTTGACTGTCGCAATACAAGATATTGTTTTCTTGTTTCTTGCCTAACTCTTCCAAGAAACTTTGGAGCCAAACCATCTCCTTGCTGGCTTCCGTAACAGCGACATATTCTGCTTCAGTTGTAGAGAGAGCAACTATCTTCTGTAGTTGAGAAACCCAACTCACTGCAGTTCCTCCTAGAGTATAGACATACCATGTAGTGCTCCTTCTGATGTCGACATTTCCGGCTAAGTCAGCATCTACATAGCCTGTCAGTATCATATCTCCACCTTTGAAACAAAGTGCTTTGTTTGTGGTACCCCGAAGATATCTGAGGATCCATTTGACTGCTTCCCAGTGTACCTTGCCCGGATTATTCATGTACCTGCTAACAGCTCCCACTGCATGAGCAATATCTGGTCTGGTACAAACCATGGCATACATCAGACTTCCAATTGCTGAGGCATACGGCACCTTCACCATGTGTGCACGTTCTTCCTCCGTCTTTGGTGATTGGTCTTTGGAGAGTCTGAAATGAACACCTAAAGGTGTACTTACTGGTTTAGCATCTTGCATGTTGAACCTGGAGAGTACTTTGTTGATGTACTCAGCCTGCGATAACATCAAAGTCCCCGACTTTGTGTCTCTCTTGATCCTCATCCCAAGAATCTGCTTTGCAGCGCCCAGATCCTTCATAACAAACTGCTTCGACAATTTTTGCTTCAAGTTTATGATCTCTTGCATGTTTGAGCCTGCAACGAGCATGTCATCAACGTACAACAATAAAATAATGAAACTATTGTCGAACCTCTTGATGTAGCAACAATGATCTGCTTGGCATCTGGTAAAACCACTGCTACTCATGAAACTATCGAACTTCTTGTACCACTGTCTAGGAGCTTGTTTTAAACCATACAAGCTCTTCTTCAACCTGCATACCAGGTTTTTCTTGCCTGCCTCTATGAAGCCTTCTGGCTGCCTCATATAGATATCTTCCTCCAAATCACCATGAAGGAAAGCTGTCTTTACATCTAACTGTTCGAGATGTAAATTCTCCGCAGCTACAATTTTCAACACCAGTCTGATTGTAGACAGTTTTACGACTGGAGAGAAAATTTCATTGTAGTCAATACCTTCTTTTTGCTGAAAACCTTTGACAACCAATCTTGCTTTGTAGCGTTTTCTCCCATCAAGTTCTTCTTTGATCCTGTAAATCCACTTGTTATGGAGCGCTTTCTTGCCTGGTGGTAATTCAGCTAATTCCCACGTCTGATTTGACATAAGCGAGTCCATCTCATCTTTCATGGAAGACTTCCACTTGACTGAATCCTCCACCTGCATTGCTTCATCATAGCACTCTGGTTCACCATTGTCAGTCAGCAACAAATAGTGCAAAGAAGGCGAATACCGTTGGGTTGGTTTAGGAATTCTGGAGGAGCGTCTCAGTTCTGGTGTGTGTGGTTCTTCTTGAACTGCTTCAGGATTGATCTGAACATCATTTCCAGAAATATCCTCGAACTCAGCAAATTCCTTTGTTTCAGCTTCGGTATTACTTGATTCTGCGGTTGACCTATATTTGTACATCACATTTTCATTGAAAATGACGTCTCTGCTTCTGATGATCTTTCGATTTTCGTAGTCCCAAAACCGGTAACCGAACTCATCACCACCGTAACCAACAAAGACGCATTTGTTGGACTTGGCATCAAGTTTACTTCTTTCAGCAGAGTTTATGTGTACATAAGAAATACAACCAAACACTCTTAAGTGTGAAAGGTTTATTTCTTTCTTGCTCCAAGCTTCCTATGGTATTCCGCCATCCAAAGGAACTGAGGGCCCACGGTTGATCAGGTAAGCTGCAGTGTTGATAGCTTCAGCCCATAGAAATTTGGGCAATCCGGCATGTATCCTCATGCTTCTGGCACGTTCATTCAGAGTTCTGTTCATGCGCTCTGCTACGCCATTCTGCTGCGGTGTTATGGGAACTGTTGTCTCCATCTTGATCCCATTGTTTGCGCAGAAATCTCTGAAACTACTGTCTCTGTACTCTCCTCCATTGTCAGACCTCAACCGCTTGACTTTCAAACCAGTCTCATTTTCCACCATGGCCTTCCATTTTCTGAAGGTATCAAAGACTTCTGATTTCTTCTTCAGAAAATAAACCCACACCTTCCTTGTTGAATCATCGATGAAGGTGACATAATATAGTGAGCCTGCAAGAGATGGAACAGGGGATGGTCCCCATACATCAGTATGAACCAATTCTAACCTTTCTGCCTTGGGAGTCTTGCCAATCTTTGTAAAACTGACTTTCTTTTGTTTTCCAAAGATGCAATCCTCGCATAGTCCGACATCTACATTCTTTAGATCCGGCAGCTTCCCTTTTGACAGAAGTATCTTCATTCCTTTCTCGCTCATATGGCCGAGCCTTTGGTGCCATAGGTTTGATTTTCCATCAGCATCTGCTACTGCAATGATATTCTCTAAATTTGAGGTTACATAGAGAGTACCGGTCTTCTTACCACGAGCAATGACGAGTGCTCATTTGGTAATCTTCCATTCACAGCCTGAAAAAGTTGTACTATATCCTTCTCCATCAAGCTGCCCAACAGAAATCAGATTTCTTTTGAGGCCAGGAATATGTCTCACTCCTGTCAGCTTCCAGGTGGTATGGTTTGGCAGCTTTAGTCGGATGTCTCCTTTTCCGACGATCTTCAAGGTTTCATCATCAGCTAGATGAACCTTCCCAAAATCACCACTGACATAGTTCTCCATGATTTCTCGGCATGGGGTGGAGTGGAAAGATGCCCCTGAATCTAAGATCCATGATTCAATCGGACTGTTGACGCTTAAAATCATGGCATCACCTGTCTCCTCCGTCATGTTGGCAGATTCCTGTGCGCCGGTATTTTTCTTCGGTGCTCGGCAATCTCTTTTGAAGTGACCCTTTTTGCCGCAATTATAACAGGTAAAATCTTTATTTCATGTTCTTGATTTGCCCCTTCTAGATTTTGATCTGCCACGATTTGAATTTCTTTCTGAAGTTCTCCCTCTAGACTCCGTGTGTAAGGCTGAGGAGGTTGATGCTTCACCCGATTCTCTTCGTCGAATTTCTTCACTCAATACCAGATCCCGAACATCGTCGAATTTTAATTTGCTGTTTCCCGACGAACTGCTGACTGCTGTAACAGTAGCATTCCAACTGTCTGGTAAAGATAATAAGAGAATTAAAGCTCGAACTTCATCATCGAACTCAATTTCCACTGAACTCAACTGGGTTGTGATTGTGTTGAGTTCATTTAGGTGTTGTGCCACCGATGCCCCTTCCGCCATCCGCAAATTGAATAATCGCCTCATCAAATGAACTTTGTTTGAGGCCGATGGCTTCTCGTACATACTGGAGAGAGCCGCCATAAGACCCGCCGTGGTCTTTTCCTTTGCTATGTTAAAAGCAACATTGCGGGATAACGTCAGTCGGATAACTCCGAGGGCTTGTCTGTCGAGAAGAGCCCAATCTTCATCCTTCATGCCCTCTGGTTGCTTTCCTGAGAGAGGTTGATATAGATTTTTCTGGTACAAAAAATCTTCAATCTGCATCTTCCAAAAGCCAAAGTTTGCACCATCGAACTTTTCAATTTTCACATTCCCTTCGTCTGCAGCCATCGCTCCCACTCGAATCTGGCTTCGTTTGGATCGTTTCTGACAATTCTTGCGAATCACCGTGTATTAGAACACCACCGTCGACAAACTCGTATCGTCGACCGAATTTCACTATTCACGAAATTCACTATTCACATGAATAGTAATGAATAGTAACCTCGCAGAAAATTTGACAAAATTCACAACCAAAAGCTCTGATTACCAATTGTTAGGAAAAATAAACCGAGTACAAGTAATTTCCCTATAACCAGATTAGTGAGAATGCGAAATAAAAGCGGAAAAATAATACCCGAAAATTGATAACGGAGTTCAGCCAATTGTGCTTACGTCTCCGGGCTGCTGCAGATCTTTTACTAAGAGAGAAAATATACAGGTGTTTACAAAACACTCACTACTCACAAGAAAGCTCTATAGTATAGGAAGAAAGAAATGTTTTGGGATGATTTTGAAGCTAAATGGGTAAGGGTATTTATAGTAGAAACTTAGGGACTAATATTTGAAAATACCCTAAAGTGCAATGACTAAAGTGAATTTACCCATTCCTATTTTCAACAAACATCTACCAAAATTTTACCAAACTTTGAAAAACATTTTTCAAAGAAACATTTATCAAACTTTGAAAAAACATTTTCCAAAGTTGGTTGCCAAACTTTAAAACTTTTAACACAGGGGCATTATGCCTGCAATAAGCCTTTTCAGATATAGTGCATCAGCTGGGGTAAGTTCAATGCGGTTACGATGTTACGATGACATAATTTATGTTCAAGATCACGAATTTACAATGCATCCATGTGTAGAATTATACTGGAATACTTGTTCGTTGTATCTCCGAGTAAGGCTTGACATGTTCATGCTTCATTGCAGATATTCTACTTCATCGGTTTCGCATTCTTTTGCCTCGAATCGCTACTTAGTATCTGGTTATTCAGGTTCGGTAATCTGTAATCCCCTTTCTTTGATCACCTTTTTCATTCGAAACCGCTCGTCTTCGCTTATCGGTTCTTCTCTTTCGATTTCTCAGCAAGTTTTAATGTACTTCCGTCGTAGTGGTAAAGCCGCGGAAATAAAGCGCGAGGCTGCAAAGAAAGCCGTCGCGGCATCGCTATGATTCCAATCACCAGCAGCAGGCATTGCAGGTTGGCTTGAGTTTCTTCTACCATCACTTCGTTCACTTATTTGTTTATATTTTTGCACGAATCATCGGTTCCTTAATTGCCTATTCATTTCGTTGATATGTTCTTTGAACATAATATTTGATCAATGCATTGAGAAAAGCCGATTTCTTTTATCATGTTAACTTTTACACATACATACATATATATATATATATATATATATATATATAATTGTACACTTTGAGTGTGTACGGGTAGGGATAACAATTTAACTTTAAACTGACGAGTTTTGACTCGAACCAATTCAATAGGGTTAGATTTTTTTTAGAAAAAATCAGATCGATTCAGTTCAGGTCGAATTTTTTAAGGGAGTGAATCAGGTCGAGTCAGGTTCAGGTATAGGGTGAAAAAACTGCGACTTGACCGGGAGATAATAATGTAATTTTCTTAAAAACTTATTATTTTTAAATTAAGTGTTTATTTTATATCGGGCGAGTCAGGTCGGTTTAGATTTGAACTCTAAAAATTCTAATCGGATAGAAGATATATATTTTCCAGGTGAAGTCGGTTCGAATGGTTAAAGTAATGGTTGTTATTCTTAGATATCACGTGTTCGAACACCAACGACTACAACATAATGATTAAACATTCATTATCAAATTGTTGAAAGTATTTAAAATAAATACTATTTTATAAACACTTTCGCAATAAAAAAACATTATCCTCTTTGAATATTCATTAGTTTAATAAGATTTTATTAGTTTTACATGTATTGTTAAATATTGCTTCTTCTATTAATAGTTACATAAAAAACACCTAGTGTGAATAAATTTGTGCCGCCATTGAAATATATTCATACATGACGATGTATGTATACATTTCGGAATTCATAACTAAATTAAAACATTCCTTGAATTATATAATAGAAAAGTCATGTAGTTGGATGTTGATCGTTGTGACTTTAGATTCACTCTCGAAATTATGAATACATGGAATGTAGCTAATTTTCTATGTATTTGTTCTTGGTCAAAGGCATTTGAGGTATGGCACATTGAAAAAATATTTTTTTTTAAATTTAAATATTGTGTATATTATCCAATAACAACTACAAATTATTAAAAAAAACATATTATAAGTTTATAACCATTATGTTGATTGCAACTCCCAACTTATTGTTTTGTCTTTTCTAGTCACCAGGATCCAGCTACCAGTGTACACGTGTCAGAAACCCACATGAACTGTTCTTTCACACTTAAACATCCACCTATTCATAATATTAAATTCAATTTTATTAAGTTCAATTTGATTTTAATTGGATTGTTATTTAAATAATAGATGAATAAAACGATTTCAGTGATTAAAAAATTTATTATTATCCTTTGAGATTATAGATGACAAATGAGTAGGGTGAGTGCGGGTACCCCTTCCTCCATTCTCATACTCATCGAATATTTTTGTAATCACCACCTACTCATCCTCTAGGATAGGTACAAATTTAAATATCCATTTCTCAAATTCACGCGAGTATATTCTAAAATCCACCTCTACACTTACTACTTAATTGGATACTCATAACTCATTCTGTATCCGTTTCTATATGTCCATACTCGTTGATAGCAACCTCACAAATTACTTCACCAACTAAATATAAAACAAACACATCCATTAAAAATATAATAAAATACTCTATCATTGATTAAATTATAAGTCATGTCATATAAAATTTTAAAATTTAAAATGTGATCTTTAAAATTATACCTAAATTTATTATGGTTCAAATTTATAGGATGAGTAATTAGTGGACGGACGGATATAAAGCAAGTGGATGTGGGGCGTGCGGATGCGAGACGGATAAGGTCTCAAACTCATCAACTATCTACTGCCTACAACAAGTATGACTTTTTACATCAACACTCATCTCAATTAAGACAAGTGCGGTACGAAATCCACGAAGTTGTACATATTAGTCATCCTTATTAAATATCTCAAGTTTAAGTATCATGTATGTAAGAATATAAAAATTCATTGTCAAGATAATATCTTACATTTATTTCAAATTTATTGAAATAAATAATTTTTTAAATCAAATATATTAAAAAAATAAATATATTATATTACAACTGGCCCTTTCCCACGATCCTCTATTAAAAAACCTTCCTTCTTCTTTAAAGCTCCAACTGTTATTCAAAAAACACACACAGATTCACGCCAACTACCGAAACCAGAACTGCAGAACAACAACAGACATGGTGTTCTTTTGTTTTCTCGTTGATCAGACAAGGAAAGTGAGCACCAGTAAGCCGGCGGCGGGGATCTGCTCGCGGTGCGGCGGAGGAGCCAGCGTCGCCGACATGAAGACCGCCACCAGGTTTTGCTACGTCCCGTTTTACTGGAAATCTTGGAGGGCGATTATATGTACCTTCTGTGGAGCCATTCTTCGATCTTATCGGTAAAAAATTCGTAGGAGAAACAATTAAGATTTTGTTAACGGTAAATTACCTTAGTAGGAGAAGTTCGTTATTTGTAACATCTTCATTTTTACGATATTTGGTCTAATTTTTTATTATTTTTTATTTTATGGGATAATGATTTGGGATTAGACAAATTCAAATCAACTATTCAACGATTTATATAGTTGCAATTATGATGTTTAAGTAAATGGTTTCACATAAACTAAAACGATGAATATAATCAAAGATATAACTTCATAAAAGTTTGTAATTTCTATCTTTAAATTAATTTTAAGGATGTCAATTTAATCTGAATTTGACGGTTTCGACTCATTTTAACCCCCCTTGAACATATTTATAAAATATAGATTTGAGCCGGGTCGATATTATAAAAGGTGAGATTGAGTCGAGTTTGAATTAAAGGTAAAAATTCTTTGATAACCTCGAGATAATAATATAATTTTCTTTTATATATTTAAAGATAATTAGTATAATATTTCATTCTCTATAATTTTATTCAACTAGAATATTTTTTGTATTTATATCAGATCGATTCGAATACGTATTTTTATTCTAAAATTAGTAATGAGGTCTAGATTGGGTGAGAATTCTCAACTCAAATCCAATTAAATACAAGTAAATATTATACACCTCTCGAATCAAATTGATTGAAAATTTAACCTAATTCAACTCATTATAACCCCTAATCCACTGTAAATACAATAAGTTAATTTGTCATTGTTTCAGCATCTAACACCATCCTAACAACTGATTGATAATATATAAATATATATCCAAACAATATCATATATAAAGTTTTAAATTTAATAAATTAAAATAGGAGAATTGATTTTTTTTGATGAAATTTACGGGTAAACTTATTTATTTACTTTTACAGTGGTAAATGCTAGCGGTTGAGAAATTGAATACAGCACAACGGAGCCGTACAAAATTAAATAAATATTGGTGCAGGAGAACAGCAACAGAAGCTAAAAGCTTTTGAATTTTTGGAGTTATACAGCTAATTGACAGCGCCAGATTGTGTGTAGAGTAATTTACAGCTATTTATTTATTTATTGGGTTGGCTGTCCTCTCCACCTATTTATTTATTGGCTTGGTTGGTAAGATATTAGATTTTTTAAATAAAGATAAATAACTTAAATATGAACGATTGCGGATGGAACAAATTGGTTTGACATAGTATTTCTCGACTCTATAGTACTTGATCTAGATTAATTAATTAATAGATCAAAAATCAATAGTTATACAAAAAAAGTAATTAATTTAATCGAATCAATTCTATATTAAATGTAAAGTACATAAATGATCCCGAGTATAAGTAATATTTTATTAATTCTCTTAACTATTAAAAGATAAAATAATCACCTAACTACATAATTATGCTTTGTTAAGTAACTCGACTATTAAAATTTATAAAATAGTCACCCAACTATTCGTTATGTTTCAAATTCGCTCTTTCTCGTTAAAAATTGGCGATCTTCTAAGCTGGATGTTAACATGATGATTGGGATATAATAGTAATTTAAGATTATGTGATCATATTTTATTATATTACAGTCAGATACAATCAATTTTTAATCGAAAAATACGAGTTTGAAGCATAATAAATAGTTAGTTGAATGACTCAACAAAGAAACACTCTTTAATCGAATGATCATTTTATAACTTTTAATAGTCGAATAACTTAATATAGTGATATCCTATAATCGAAAGATCATTTGTATACTTTACCCTAATAGTAATTATTTAAATCATTTAATTTACTTTTAAATGTGGATTTTTTAAATATTTATCTAAAGTAGTTAAAAATAATAATATATGTTAAGTTGATGTTTTATTATTTAAAACTATTTTATATAACTCGATATTTATTATTTGAAGTTTATCATTATTCGACCTTTTTAAAAAATTAAAGATATAAAAATTTGTAAATAAAAAACAAATAATTGATTCTAAAAAACCTAGTTTTCTCTTGTTAGGGTATCAATTTTTTTTTTTTGTTAATTGGCAGTGACACCAACTTTAATGTTGGTTGTAGACCATCGATAATCTTTATTGTTTTTTCTTTTCTATACCGTATTTTTATTTTTTTATCTTTTAATTTTCAATAATCTGCCTGTGTTTTATGTTTTTCATCTGCCTTTATGACACGTTTTTTTTATGCTTTTTGGCATATTTTTCAGTTGTTGGCCATTTTTTAAGGGTTGATTTAACATCGTCACAACTGATCAATATACTCTTATATGATATCTTGTTGATATTCTCTGTTTTGGACCCTCAAATTGGATTTGAATACATGATTTATATTCGTAGATAGCTTTTCACGTTGCTCGAATCTGATTTGCAGTTTGTCGATGGTTTTTCAATAGTTTGATCCCCATTTTGTAGTTCGTTTGTTGATGCGATCATATCTGTTTGTATCTATCTTTGTTCAAATTTCTTGGTTATACTTAATTTTTCATTGTATGATCTTAAGTTGTTAGTTTTGTTTAAATGATTATAGAAAATTTTCTTAATTATGTGGTTAATTTACGATTGTGATTATAAATATTTATTATAATTTGAAATATTTCCTATTTAGAGAAAATTAGTTGGTTATATAAAAAAAGCTTATCATTATTCGAATAGTTTAAAAATGCAATGGAGTCAAGACTAGCTTCGAATAATGATAAACTTGAGTTTGTGCTCGATTCAATATTCGAAGCTCGATATTTTATCGGAGCTTCACCTAACATCAAAATATAAATTTGAGTTTGACTCGAATTCGATTAAATATAAATATTTAATTCAGAATATGATGGAGTTGTTTTGGAATCAAATTTGATTAAAATTAATTATTGACAAATTTAGTTATTTGTATTCGATTAAATTCGTTTGTATTTAAACTCAAATTTAAATTTGAATTAAATAGTTTTACATACAAATATTTAAAATATATATGATCTTAGACTGGCGAATTATTTAAATTAATATTATTATTTTTTTTCAAATGGAACTCTAATAACCTTTTGATCTCATTTACAATCTATCTATGGGTTTAGTTGGAGTTATAATTAATTCCTTTAGGCTTGGACCAACTTTTGGAATGGGTTTTGGGCTGCGGGCAATTGGTGGAAAAGTTAATATATATAGGGTAAATTACACGTTTAGTACTTAAATTATTAGTTTTAGCACTTAAACTTTTAAAATTTTTAAAACCATACTTAAAGTTTAGTTTTTGTTTCATTTTAGTACCTATGTTTAAAATTTAATGTTAAGTTTTAAAAAAATTTGAAAGTTCATATACTAAAACGAGCCAAAATTGATAGTTTAGGTACTAAACGCGATAAGTTTTTAACGATGGTGGTACTAAAATGAAACAAAATAAATTTTAGGTTTGATTTTAACAAAAATGAAAGTTTATGTACTAAAATGGATAAAAGTTTATAGTTAGGTAATAAATGGGTAATTTACCCTATGTATATAGCATAAAAATTGATTTTTTTATCTCTGCGTAAATTACAAATTTAGTAAGTGAACTTTACTCGCTTTCTTATTTCACTCATTGTACTTTAAGTCATTTCATTTTCCTCACTGAACTTAATATGTCGGTTTTTTGAGGGCAGAAGTGTAAACTTGCTGAGCTGAGTGATTTTTATTCTTTAATATGGTAACAATTTAGAGTGCTGAACAAACAATAATCTTCAGTCTGTATGCCTATGCATAAAACAAAACCCAACTAAAGCATCTGTAGATTCAAGTTTCTATGTATTAATACGACATACAGGGCAACACTACTCCATTATACACACACTTATCAGGCATTTGCATTTGACATTCATTGATAAACTAGCATGTTATCTGTTTTCAGGATGCTTTGATAACTTTTTTGTTAAGGAAGCTTGACAATCTTTCAAAGGATGACAAATGACAAATGCCAAATAACGATGATTTCCACATGGGTGACAGAACTGTTACCTGGACAAGGTTCCAGTTTTTCTTTTCCATGCATGAATTTAGATGAATATGATAACCTAGTTACTATCTAGCTTTTATATATATATATATATATATACTCTATGATATGCTAGTGGCTTTATAAAACTGAAATGTGGGACTAGCATCAGGTCAGAAGTGTAGAGGCTAGGTTTCTCAAACATTCCATTAATGACAATAAATGTACATGAGATAAGTTCCCAATATAAATGTTTCATATTTGTCATTTTCAGTTGATTATCTGCATTTTCTATTTTGCTCCGCCTTTATGTCATGAACAGTATTATCAATTATTTTTCTGATTTTGAACTTGATTAGTAATGAACAAAGTAACTTTGAAAATGCATCTACTTTTTGGGAAATTAATACTTTCCGTTACTTGCCTTGTGGATTGCACTGTTGTAAGAGGACAAAATTCTCCCCTGTTGTAAGAAAACGGATGCGTGGCTGCGTTCATATATATAACATGATGGCAATGCATGAGGAAGCTGTTGCTCTTGCTCTGCAGGTAATATTTCTGTCAATGTGTCTGATAGTTCCTTCATAACAATTTTTCTCAGACCATTTACATTCGAAATTGTGTTATTACTATGAGAATTTGAGTTAGAAATTATAGCATGCACTCAGACAAGTTAGGTATGTATTTGTTATTAGTATTACTACTATCATTTAATTTGCTATTTCCAAAATAAATGTTTGTAGCTTAAACATGTTATTTATATGTGTGATGTATAATGGTGGTATATTTGATCAAAAATAGTTCATCTGGATTTTACATCACATCGGTATTTATTCTATTTTTGGTTCTCTAGATTGATCCAGAGCTAGCAATGGCTGAAGCTGACAAGGTTGAAGATGACGAAGACTTGAGAAAGAAGCTTTGGCTAATGGTTGCCAAGCATGTTATTGAGCAGGAAAAGGGAACTAAAGGGGAGAATATAAGAAAGGCAATAGCATTTCTCAAGGAAACATATGGCCTACTAAAGATTGAAGACATATTGCCATTCTTTCCCGACTTTGCCTTAATCGATGACTTCAAGGTGGGATTCTGGCATTTTAGTTATATTAGTGCTTATATCTCTCTCTCACCTCAAATGGGGTTAGTTAGGCACAACATAACGCATGAACTTTAATGCCATGTTAAGCATCTGACCTAAAACCAATTGGTAATAGGTGAAGGGGGTTCAACTTTGAATATATGTAGGAGGCAATTAACATTTTCTTATGTACCTGTCAAATAATTTTTCTTTTATGCATGTACGTAGGAGGCAATTTGCTCCTCACTGGATGATTACAACAAGCAAATTGAGCAACTGAAGCAGGAGATGAATGATGCAACACACGGTGCAGACAACATTAGAAATGATATTAGTGCATTAGCTCAGAGATATGTTGTGGTTGACCGCGATGAGGATTGTGGGGTAATTGATTATCCTAATTCTTAGTTTCCTTTGAGAAGTTGATGGCATTCTTAGATTTAATTTTTCTGATATCTTAAATGGATTATGGAGGTAAAGCCTTCCGTGCTTCATTCAGTCTGCTCTAGCATTCTGCATTGTTTTACAAGAAGTCCGTGTAATGTTACGCACAGTGAGAGGGCTTGCTTTTACTTTGAGTGCCAAAAAATATTAATTTTATTGACAATTCCTTGGCTGATAGTTTAATTTACTTTCATGTTGGAAATATTATAATTTATTGGAAAACTCATATTCCTCAGCCTATGAATCAAATACCCCTTGATCAGTCGACTTCATCTGAATTATCAGGTCCGTAGGCGTAAAATTTTGGCCATTGACGGGGACTACAGAATGGCTAGCGGGTATACAGCTGTAGGGACGATGGCTCCTTTCTATGTCTTTCCTTGTGGACATGCATACCAATGTATCTCAAGTAAGTTGTTTGCCTATCATTCTTTCAGTTCTCATATGTTCATGTTTGCATGTTGGCCGAATATATCACGATTTTTGGTTGGTTAACCTTTTACGAGTAAAATTTGTATGGCAGGCGGAATACATACTGGATTTGCATAAGCAACTAACTTTACTTAGCGGCGAAGTCCGAAGGGAATCAAATGGTGGTATGACAAACGAAGCCATTACTAGCGTCAGCCCTACCGATAAGGTATACAGACATCACTTCCCTTGAATCTATAGCTTGTTTTTCGCTGGAAATTCATCCGCAGAATTACCGTAATAGTAGACCAAACTTGGTAGTTTAATTGAGATCTCTGTTTGATTCGTGGGCAGCTCCGATCCCAGTTAGATGATGCTGTTAAACTTGCAATATGAGAGAAATGAAAATTATTTTATTCCACACATGAATAAGTTTACAATCAGTGCTTATATATACATAGCTATTCAACTCTAACTGCTTAACTAACCCAAAACCGTTTCTAACTAATCAATAACAGAAAAAACAGATTACAAACTCAACACTCCCCCTCAAGTTGGATGTTGAAAAACATTTTCAACTCCTAACTTGGATAGCAAATAATTGTGCTGTTGATTTCCCAAAGCCTTTGTCATAATGTCTGCAAGCTGTTCATGTGTGAAAATATGTTCTGTCTGAATCAAACCTTCTTGTATTTTTTCTCTCACGAAATGACAGTCGATTTCAATATGCTTTGTCCTTTCATGATACACAGGGTTAGCTGCTATCTGAATTACAGCTTTGTTATCACAGTAAAGTTTCACAGGTTTCAAGCCTTTTATACTAAACTCTGCAAGTAAACCTTGCAGCCATACCAGCTCAGAAGTAACCACTGCCATAGCTCTATATTATGCTTCTGCTGAAGATCTAGCCACAACATTTTGTTTCTTTGATTTCCATGAAATCAGTGAGTCACAAATCTTGATACAGAAACCTGTCATAGATTTCTTTGACATTGGACATGATCCCCAATCTGAATCACAGTAGGCTGAAATTTGATGGCCTGAAGAAGACTTTAACAAAACTCCCTGTCCTGGTTTTTTCTTAACATACCTTACTACTCTTAAGGCTGCCTCCATGTGTGACCTTTTAGGATGCTGCATAAATTGACTAAGAAGGTTTACTGCATATGTAATGTCAGGTCTAGTATATGTCAAGTAAATCAGCTTTCCAATAAGCCTTTGGTAAACTGACTTTTCAACCTGATTATGTCCATCTTCATTAGTCTGCAGTACAACTCTATCATAATCTACAGTAGTCAGCTTCAGATTCTGCTCTAGAGGAGTATCAGCAGACTTTGCTTTCTCCAAACCAGTTTCCTTGATTAATTGGAGTGCATACTTCCTTTGATTCAAGAATATACCTTCCTTTGACCTCAAAACCTCGATTCCCAAAAAATATTTTAGCTCCCCCAAATCCTTCATCTTAAAATGGCTATTCAACATTTGTTTTAATTCAGCAATCAACTCATTACTATCACCTGTAATAACCAAATCATCAACATATACCAACAACAAAGCCATTTTACCTTGCTGCTTCTTGATGAACAATGAGTAGTCATATTTACTTTGAACATAGCCAGCCGAAACTAATGCTTCTGTTAACTTCAGATTCCACTGCCTGGAGGCCTGCTTAAGACCATATAATGATTTTTGCAGTCTACACACAACCTTCTCCCCCTGACTGCAAAAACCTTCTGGAAGCTGCATATAGACTTCCTCAGAGAGATCTCCTTGCAAAAAAACATTGAATACATCCATTTGCAACAGTGGCCGTTGGAAGATAGAAGCAAGAGCTAAAACGGTTCGAATGGTAACCATTTTGACCACAGGAGAAAAAGTATTAACAAAGTCAATTCCCTCCTTTTGATTATAACCTTTAGCAACCAAGCGAGCTTTATATCTCTCAACCTCACCTGATGCTTTGTACTTAACTCTATAAACCCACTTACATCCAATAGGAACTTTTCCTGGTGGTAATGGAACAAGAGACCAAGTTCTATTAGACTGCAATGCATGGATTTCCTCTTTCATTGCTTGAACCCAAAGTGGATTTTGAATAGCCTCAGAATAAGATTGAGGCTCAGAAATTTGAGAGATGGAAGACAAGAATACTTGAGTATGAATTGGTAAGTGAGAATAAGAAAGTTCACTGAAATTTGAGGAAGAAGACTGACAAGTGCAAACAAAATTGTTTAACCAAGTAGGAGGTTTTGAAACTCTAGAAGATTTCCTAGAAGGGACAGGTGCACTTATTGAAGCAGGAGACTGATCTGGAATTTGAGAAGTGTATTCTTCATCAACAAAACTCAACTCAGTAGGATTACTATGAAGGGAGCTAGAATGTGGAGAACTTGGAGTATTTAGAATCAAGAAGTCATCATCAGAAACAAAGGTAATAGATGGGAACAAAACAGGATCAGAACTATAAAAGGAAGAAGATGGGTGAAAAGGAAAGTGAGTTTCATGAAACTTAACATCCCTGCTAACGAATAATTTTTTAGAATCAAGGTTAAACAGTAAGTAACCCTTTTGGATTGGAGAGTATCCTAAAAAAATAGAAGCAAAAGCTCTAGCATCAAACTTATCATGAGGAGTAAGATTTGTGGCAAAACAGAGGCACCCAAATACTCTAAAATGGTCATAAGAATGAGGTTTATTGTATAGTAATTCAAAAGGAGTTTTCCAAGATAAGACTGAAGATGGCAACCTATTGATAATATAACAGGCAACTAACACACATTCTCCCCAAAACTTAAAAGGGACCCGAGACTGAAACCGAAGAGCCCGAGCAACTTCTAAAAGATGCCTATGTTTACGTTCGGCAACACCATTCTGTTGAGGAGTAAGTACACCCAAGACATCCTAGTGTAGTCATCTACAATAGTCAAGAAAAAACGTTGACCATCATGAGTAGAAATTCGATAAGGCCCCAACAAATCAATGTGAATTAATGTGAAGGGAGTAGTGGTCCTAGAATTGCTAATTGGAAATGAAAGCCTGGACTGTTGAGCTAAAGGACAGATAGAACAGTTTTGAACAGATTCCTGATGCAAATTGGCATTATGAAACATAAGTAATTTTTTTAATTGAGAAGCTGGAACATGTCCTAAACGAGCATGCCAAAGATTTGTTTTATTTGCATCAACAGATTTACAAGTGTTTAAAAAAATTTCAGAATTGACTAAAGGTTTACATGCATCAGCAGAAACAGAAAAAACAGAATTGGGAGGGAACCTGAGCATGTAAAGACCTCTAAATTCTTTACCAATCACTCTTATCATGCCATTGTAAAGATCCTGCAATATGCAAAGATCAGGATAGAAAAAAACAGCACATTTCAACTCATGAGCCAACTTTGAAACAGAAATGAGATTGTGAGTGAAGTGAGGCACATGAAGAACATTAGATAGGTGAAAACCATTAGGAAATCTAACAGATCCTATATGTGTGACAACAAGGGATTTTCCATTAGGTAATTGAATATATTTAACTGTGGATGTACAGGGCACAGGATCAATCATGCAGTTAAAGTCTGATAAAATATGGTCAGTTGCTCCAAAATCCATTCAATTGAATCATAAGCAAGAGAACAGAAAGTACCTGCCAAATTCACAGAGGAATTTGGAATAGAACTCGGAGCTGAAGCCTGATTCAGAAGCCCCAAAAGCTGCTGATATTGTTCAGTAGTGAAGACTGGTGGTGCTGGATTAATCACCTCACGATCAGAGTGAGCCACCATGGCAGCTGGAGAACCCTTCTTCTTGTTGAACTTGAAGTCAGGTGGAAAGCCAATAAGGCGATAGCAATTCTCCTTTTTATGGCCCTTCACCTTGCAGTGATCACAGGTTCCATTGAACCTTCGACGGCTGCCAGGAGCATTGGAGTTGCCAGAAGCATTGGAATATAATGTTGTAGTTTCCATGTAACACCCCCAACCCGTATCCGATCCGGATACGAGTCCGAAGTGTCACATTGACTTTTCAAACATTTATTCGTATAAAATAGTGAGTAATTTAAAAACTTTGATAACATTTAACTTATTCAAAACGTTTACAAAATATATATCAGAGTTCATACAATTTATGTCTTTAGACTACATGCCAACTACACTCTATATACAGTACATATATTTTCTGATCTGATATTTGGTAAGGAAAACTGACCTGTCTTGCTCCGCATTACTCTTTACTCTTCTCGAAACCTACGTGTGAAACAATCACACGCTAAGTCGAAGACTTAGTGAGGCATAACGACTTATAATGCACTTCATAACATATATCAATACATGCATGTTCTGTTCTATCATGTTATACCAATTCCATGCATTCTTCGTATCATATAAAATCATATCAGATTAATTACAGTAAATACATACATACACATAATTCATCATTAACAGTTTATCATGTAATCACATACTTTTATTGTTAACCTTTCAATCAAACACTGTACACACAACATCATATGGTTCACATAACACATTTCAAACCACTTATAGACCCATCGTATACATATCACATTCAGTATGCTTGTTTAATCACTTTATTAGCCCATGTACACTAGTGAGAACTTAAGGTATGTGAGTACATTGAGGTTGTGCACACATATGCTGTCACCACAGCTCGATCAATGTCCCGAAGGACCAGTCCATAGATTCCGAAGAACCTAGGTAATCAGTCCATATGTCCCGAAGGACATAGGTAAACAGTCCATATGTCTCGAAGAACATAGGTAAACAGTCCATATGTCCCGAAGAACATAGGTAAACCCTCGACCCTTGGCATGCCAACTATACCCCTAGCTCTCATATCATATAACATGGGCATTATCATTTATAACAGTTCACATTACTTATTCATATGCTTTCTCTTATAAACACATATCTTTCTTTTCAGTCACGTATCACATGTACGTGTAATCATTGATCTCATAATCACATGTTCCTTCTTTTCTGTCACATACCACATGTATGTGTAAACATATATCTAATATCATGTTGCATGTAATCACATAGATCTTATCTCATAACATATACTTGTTTTCACATATATATTTCATATCATTTCTTATACCATCACATAATCCATTTAACATACATAACATATCATGTAACATTATAATAGAAATACCTATAAGTCATATCACTTAGAGCACATAAAAGAACAGATCAATTCATATAATCAAGCATACATACATGCATATTTCACTCATGCCTTTAATCATGAATTCATGTGTAACACTTTAGGAAATAGACTCATCGCAAGTCTTATTCCCATCGCACATCGTATACTATTGAATATGCACTCACCTGGCCTCACTAGTCAATTCCAATCTCTTATCTTTCCCTTGATCGATCTTACTTGCCAAACGTTCCGGAATTTCTTTATGCGTAGAATCTACATAAATGTACATTTCGAGGTAATCATTAGATACCTGCACCTTTTAATTAGATACTAGCAACTTAAACGAACTTATTAAACCAATATTAACATTTTCCTTTAGGGGGGAATCGGTTCCCTACTAAGGGGGTATCGATTCCCTAATGACATTCTGGAAATGTTGTTCGTTTGAAGGGGTATCGGTTCCCCTTGAATGGGTACCGATTCCCCTTGCCCAGAAATCATATTTTCAACCCGAAAATTACTTCATTTCCACTTAAACACTTCATATATCATCCCCTTTTCATTCTTAACTCTAGTACACATACTTAAACCAATCTATATTCATTTATTTCATCTTAAACCTCAAAATCCTATCTTCCATATGAGATTCAAAAATCATACCAAATTTTCAATGTGTTCTAATTCCAATTCTAACACTTCATACTTCTTAATTTAACCCTTGACAAGTCAAATTCATCCTTAGAATTTCAAAAACCTTTCTATATCAAAATTTCATTTCTAATCTTTTAATAGAAATTCCTTTTTAATTCTCCCTTCTTGATGTTTTAAGTTTATATAAGCTTTCCTTAAGCTTATATAACCCCCAAAGATTCAAAACCAACTTATAAATTCCAGAAATTAACAGTTAAAAATCAAACTTACCTTTAAGCTGGAGCTACGAGAAGAAGAAGAAGAGAGCAAGAAGAAGGCTTCCAGAACTCTCCCAAAACCCACGTATATCACCTGTATTTAAAGGAAATACAAAATATCCTTTAAGCTGAAAAGACTAAATTGCCCCTTTAATTATCCATCTATGCTATTCAATCCATCATCAAAATTCTTTACTTAAATCCCAACACTTTTAACTTATTTCAAAATTGAGCACACAGTTTCCAAAATTTACATTTTAGTCACTGATCCGGCTTTTGGGGATGTTACAAATCTCCCCTCCTTATAAGAAAATTCGCCCTCGAATTTTCACTGAACATCTTAGTAAGAACATATCTTCTAATGTTCTTATGTTGCTTCTCTGACTTATTCTTTCTTGTCATCATCAGAAACTTACTTTTTAATCCTTTAGTTTTCCGACTATCTTTTTCGTTTATACCTTCATCTTCTGTTGTTTATCATATAAACAATAACCAGTAATACCAATCCATTGTTGTCTTTTCTCTCATTCGATTATGCATTTTTCCTTTGACCTTTCTAAAATTCCATATAATGTCACTCATCACGTTGACAGTAACATTCATCTCATCACTCTATATCAAAACTGTCCTCTGTACTTCTATATTTATCGTATCTGATTCTTTTAAATCAATCCCTTTCATTTCTTTACTCCTTATTCCTTATACATAAATCATATATTTCCTTTCATATTCACATACTCTTGTCTTATCACTTATACTCATCTTTATGTACCAATCTTCATTGCATCCTCATTACTCTGATAACCCATTTCTTATACATAACTTCATTCTTTATCATTTCTTATACTTGTATTTTCCTTCCTGAAGGTTCCATGCAAATACTTATCTCTGTTTCTACATCATAGCTATCTGCTCAGAATATACAACTATATTCAAATTCACATCATAATCAATTAACTCCACTATATCTTTCCTCCAATCTTATAACTCTAGCACCTTTACTCTGACAGCTAGATAATAACTTTTGTTCAGTCTAGGGCACAAGCCCTCTTATACCATCATATACATTCTTTCCAATCTAAATTATCTCAACATTCGCTTACTCAACTTATCAATTTCACCTCTATTCTCATACATCCTGAAATTTCTTTTACTCAAACTCAACATTCTGACTTCCTGTGTCCTATAATCTGATCATCGATATACATATTCTCAAACTCTTCTTATCAATCCTCAGCTTTACTTAAATATACAAATTCTTACTTCCTTTTCCTTTACTATACCACATTACTATGATCCAAATATGCAACTGTATCCAGATCCATTGCGGATTTGGTTATCATATCCTGACAATATCTTAAAATCTTATAATTCCAGTACATTTTTATCACATACTCTAGTTAGCCAATGCTAACTCTTTCCATCTTAACTGCAAACCCTTATCATAAACATAATATTGTTCATGCGCAATACTATCACTTCGTTTCAAACTCATAAGCTCTGACTTTATACATCTTATACACTTGTCACTGATGCACTTATCCTTGAGTTCTTCTATACGTACTCATCACGTCATTAGATATTTTTAACATTCTTATGGTGACACCTGTTCACCATATTCTATCTTATCCACATAATAACAAAACTACTCTATATCGTGTTTCCGATTCCAAACGATGAAAACTTTCTATCATTATTCAGATATGATTTCAGCTTTCTGAAATCAACTTTTGATCTTACTAGGCATTTCCTGAGGTGTCCGCTCTTCATCCTGCCTGGCCAGGGCAAGTGAATAACTATCACAATCAGGAATATCACCTTTCACTTACTTCGAAATTATCACGATCGGATTTTTACTGTATTAAACTATTCTTATTTTATTAGCAAGACAACGTATTCCTTACACTATCAGATCAGAAATTTTTCAATCTATGTTGGCATGTACACCTTTTATGACACTTTGGACTTCGGTTTATGCCGAGAATCGGCTAAACCTTAGCTCTGATATCATTAAATGTAACACCCCCAACCCGTATCCGATCCGGATACGAGTCTGAAGTGTCACATTGACTTTTCAAACATTTATTCGTATAAAATAGTGAGTAATTTAAAAACTTTGATAACATTTAACTTATTCAAAACGTTTACAAAATATATATCAGAGTTCATACAATTTATGTCTTTAGACTACATGCCAACTACACTCTATATACAGTACATATATTTTCTGATCTGACATTTGGTAAGGAAAACTGACCTGTCTTGCTCCGCATTACTCTTTACTCTTCTCGAAACCTACGTGTGAAACAATCACACGCTAAGTCGAAGACTTAGTGAGGCATAACGACTTATAATGCACTTCATAACATATATCAATACATGCATGTTCTGTTCTATCATGTTATACCAATTCCATGCATTCTTCGTATCATATAAAATCATATCAGATTAATTACAGTAAATACATACATACACATAATTCATCATTAACAGTTTATCATGTAATCACATACTTTTATTGTTAACCTTTTCAATCAAACACTGTACACACACAACATCATATGGTTCACATAACACATTTCAAACCACTTATAAACCCATCGTATACATATCACATTCAGTATGCTTGTTTAATCACTTATTAGCCCATGTACACTAGTGAGAACTTAAGGTATGTGAGTACATTGAGGTTGTGCACACATATGCTGTCACCACAGCTCGATCAATGTCCCGAAGGACCAGTCCATAGATTCCGAAGAACCTAGGTAATCAGTCCATATGTCCCGAAGGACATAGGTAAACAGTCCATATGTCCCGAAGAACATAGGTAAACAGTCCATATGTCCCGAAGAACATAGGTAAACCCTCGACCCTTGGCATGCCAACTATACCCCTAGCTCTCATATCATATAACATGGGCATTATCATTTATAACAGTTCACATTACTTATTCATATGCTTTCTCTTATAAACACATATCTTTTCTTTTCAGTCACGTATCACATGTACGTGTAATCATTGATCTCATAATCACATGTTCCTTCTTTTCTGTCACATACCACATGTATGTGTAAACATATATCTAATATCATATGTTGCATGTAATCACATAGATCTTATCTCATAACATATACTTGTTTTCACATATATATTTCATATCATTTCTTATACCATCACATAATCCATTTAACATACATAACATATCATGTAACATTATAATAGAAATACCTATAAGTCATATCACTTAGAGCACATAAAAGAACAGATCAATTCATATAATCAAGCATACATACATGCATATTTCACTCATGCCTTTAATCATGAATTCATGTGTAACACTTTAGGAAATAGACTCATCGCAAGTCTTATTTCCATCGCACATCGTATACTATTGAATATGCACTCACCTGGCCTCACTAGTCAATTCCAATCTCTTATCTTTCCCTTGATCGATCTTACTTGCCAAACGTTCCGGAATTTCTTTATGCGTAGAATCTACATAAATGTACATTTCGAGGTAATCATTAGATACCTACACCTTTTAATTAGATACTAGCAACTTAAACGAACTTATTAAACCAATATTAACATTTTCCTTTAGGGGGGAATCGGTTCCCTACTAAGGGGGTATCGATTCCCTAATGACATTCTGGAAATGTTGTTCGTTTGAAGGGGTATCGGTTCCCCTTGAATGGGTACCGATTCCCCTTGCCCAGAAATCATATTTTCAACCCGAAAATTACTCATTTCCACTTAAACACTTCATATATCATCCCCTTTTCATTCTTAACTCTAGTACACATACTTAAACCAATCTATATTCATTTATTTCATCTTAAACCTCAAAATCCTATCTTCCATATGAGATTCAAAAATCATACCAAATTTTCAATGTGTTCTAATTCCAATTCTAACACTTCATACTTCTTAATTTAACCCTTGACAAGTCAAATTCATCCTTAGAATTTCAAAAACCTTTCTATATCAAAATTTCATTTCTAATCTTTTAATAGAAATTCCTTTCTAATTCTCCCTTCTTGATGTTTTAAGTTTATATAAGCTTTCCTTAAGCTTATATAACCCCCAAAGATTCAAAACCAACTTATAAATTCCAGAAATTAACAGTTAAAAATCAAACTTACCTTTAAGCTGGAGCTACGAGAAGAAGAATAAGAGAGCAAGAAGAAGGCTTCCAGAACTCTCCCAAAACCCACGTATATCACCTGTATTTAAAGGAAATACAAAATATCCTTTAAGCTGAAAAGACTAAATTGCCCCTTTAATTATCCATCTATGCTATTCAATCCATCATCAAAATTCTTTACTTAAATCCCAACACTTTTAACTTATTTCAAAATTGAGCACACAGTTTCCAAAATTTACATTTTAGTCACTGATCCGGCTTTTGGGGATGTTACATTCCAGGAGAGGAACGACACCAGATAGCTGAAGGCGATGAGCTTCTTCTTGACTTATCATCGAGTAGGCACTGTTGACTGAAGGTAAGGGCTGCATCAACAACAGTTGGCTTCGAATAGCAGTATACGAATCGTTCAACCCCATCAAGAATTGGAATAACTTCTATTGAGCAACATGCCTTAAATTTGACTGAGCACTTGCACAGGTACAATTCGAAGACGGTACGAGTGCATCATACTCGTCCCATAGAAGCTTCAGCCGCGAGAAATACGCAGAAATGGACAGCTCACCTTGCACCATCGTTGCAATCTCACGATGAAGAAAAAAAATCCGTGAACCGTCGACCTTATCAAATCGTTCCTTGAGATCTGCCCAGACGAACGCGGCGCTTGAAGCGAAGACGATTCCAGCAGACAACTCCTTGCTCACAGAATTGAGGATCCATGAAAGCACAAGAGCGTTGCATCTATCCCATTGTGCTTGTAAAGGAGGTTGGAAATCGTCGCGGCAGCAAATTCCATCGACAAATCCTAATTTGTTTTTGGCGAGGAGCGCGATTCGCATCGATCGACTCCAGATGGTGTAGTTGTCTGGCCCAGAGAGTTGATGCGAAATCAAGATCGTGCCCGGAGTATCCGAAGGGTGAAGATACAGTGGATGATTGAAATCAACAAGCGTTTATTCTGTCATCGGAACCGTCGTTGAAGACATCCTGAAAATGACGAGGCTGTGGAAATGTGAAAGCGACGATGTTGTAGAGACGTGGAATGAGATGGAAAGGGAAAAAAACGAGCCCAAGTAGAAAACAGGCCCAACAGAAACGGACTAGCCTGATACCATGTTAAACTTGCAATATGAGAGAAATGAAAATTATTTTATTCCACACATGAATAAGTTTACAATCAGTGCTTATATATACATAGCTATTCAACTCTAACTGCTTAACTAACCCAAAACCGTTTCTAACTAATCAATAACAGAAAAAATAGATTACAAACTCAACAGATGCAGTGGCCAGTGAATGCCCATTTTGCGGCGAGTTAATGATCCGTGAAATCTCTTTGCCTTTCATCATGCCGGAGGATGCCCAGATGGTCAATTCATGGGAGATAAAACCACAAAACCTTGGAAACCAAAGAAGCTTTTCTTTGCCTGTATGATTGGATTATGTATGTCCATCGACATGTTCCGGTCCATCCGCACCGAGCCATCCTATGGCCGGTTATGTAGTTTTCGAGCCTTCTCAGCATCACTTGAGTCTCAATGGTTTGCTTATCTCGTGTAATTTATTCGTATTTATGTTTTTTCCCTTTCCCTTTTCGTATTTATTGTATTGGTTGCATTTCCTCCCATGGCCCTTTGTTTTCTGTTTTTCTTTGTGTTGCAAGTTTGGCCCTTTTGTTTTTCATTGACACACTATATTTATATCTAGGGTAAACTACTTCAAATACCACTTATTTTAAGTGCGGACTCGAAAATGTCACTGACGTTTTAATTTTGCCAATTTTAACGCTGACGTTTATGCAAAAATTCAAATACTTTTATAGTAAATATAGAGAAGAATAGTTATGGATGACAATTTTTCATTAGAAAGATAGTATTTATTCAAAAGCATAAAACATAAAGGTACTGTGCAGCATAGCACAATCAGGATGAACGAAACACAATGAGGATAAAAAAAGAGAGCAGAATTAAACAGCTGAGAATAACAAAACAGCAGGAAAACAACAAAAGCAAACACAATATCTTTCTTGTCGGAGGCCAATATGGATTAGAGTTTGGTGACCGGAGGAAGGTCCTCTGCTCTGGTCTCAAATTTATGGTTGTAGTAATTAGAACCAAAGTAGGTGCCACCCTGAACTTCAGTTAAGACCGGTCTCCCATCATAAAGAGTGTCCCTTTGCATGAATGAGAAAGGAATATCGCACAGACCTTTGGTTGCCACTAGATTAACCGTCACCTTAGTCATCGGCGGCACAATAACACTGTTCACAACTTCCAGATTGGTGCTTGTTTCGAAGCTCTTTCCCCACTCAACTCCTGATCGAACTTCAGCGGACATTTCGATGCTCCCATCGAAAATTAACGGAACACCAATCTCTATGGATGTCTTCATGCCCAAGGTTAGTGAAAAATCAGTCTTCCAGGAGCTAGTCTTAGTATCTGTATATGCAAGCTTAACGTCCAGAGTAGAGGATTGGTCGGTAAAGTTGGCGGCGGAATTCTGGGCCACAACCAGGACTGTTTGGTCGTAAACCCTGGCATTATTAAAATCATATATGACATCATAAATTTCCCTTGTCAGCACAGGCTCCTCCACCCTGATTCTGGCTGCTGTGGTAACAGAGGTGGCCATTGCACCAAGAGTATCGAGTCCTGGGACCCTCATGCAGAATTGTTTGTTGCCCAAGTTGATTAGGGCTATAGTCTCCTCGTCAACTTTGACAGGGCGAAACACGGTCCAGGAGTCGTCGGTGGTAGTGCCGTCGGAATCTGCCATGATGAACATTATTTCGTTTCTAAGGAATTTCCCTGTTTTAGACGATTTGATGCGAATATTTCCGTCATTGGTAGGGATAATCTCGAATGGCACGCTTGGTTCACCGATGTCATTAGCTCCGAACATCGCGGTAACGTCGTTGCCAAGGAACAGATACTTGTCGTTGTCTCCTTTAAAGGCAACGTGGCTGGGTAGAATCACAAATGATCTCCAATCAATAGTTGTGAAGACATCAGCGCCTTGATTATCAGTCTCCTTGTAGTTACACATCAAGGAGTGATCGAACTTCGGATTCCCCGATCCCCAGGAGCATACGTAGCATCCCCAGGATTGATTCTGAACTTGTTCAACGCAGGGTCCACAGGGATAAACTTGAACAGTGTGCACGACTCCTTGGATTGATCTTCCTCCTTCTCTTTGGCCGTTGCCCAGATCCAGGGTCCATCAGCGACGGAGGAAGATTCGATTCGTTGCCAATACATGTTGCTTTGACAACTTCTTATATGGACCAAACCTTTTGTGCTCGATCTCTCCACTCCAAGCTTTGCGTATGGGCTCGTAACGAGAGCTTCCATGAATCTCACAATCCCATCGGTGTTTCCGCCATCACGAATATAACTCAAGTAACCCACATCCTGGAAAGATTTGATGGCGATGAAATTAAATTCCATTTTGCTACCACCTTTGTTTATGAATGGATAACAAGTAATTTGCTCTCTAATTGCCGCTGTGCTTGCTTACCAAAACCTCCGCTATTTAGCCGTTCCATTTCTATCTTGGTGTAAATTACGTGTTTAGCACTTGAACTATCGGTTACGGTCTGTTTTAATATTTAAATTTTTTATTTTTCAGAACCATACCCAATGTTTAATTCTTATTTTATTTTAGTATATCGTCATTCAAAATTTAACGCGTTTAGCACCTCAAATTTATATTTTGAACATATCGAGTGTTTTCAGTAGTAAAAAATATTGTTCTTCTTTGAAGATTTGAGTTGATGTGTGTGAGTTGTTAATAGACTAAGAAATTATTAAAAAATATTATCTTATAATCGACTTAAATTATTTAAAAATTAATATTTTATATTAAAATTATTTAAATTTAAGAATTCCTGACGAAAGGGGGATTACTTTATTGCAATTGGAAAAGATAACATAAACTTCTAATTATGCAATTGGACAATTAAGAAAAGTGGAACATTATTTTAAGTGAAAGAAAGCGACATACCTTCCACATTCGGCCCAAATAAACAAAGATTAAAGATTTTTTCTCTCAATTGATGTGTAGTTTTTTATCTTTGTTGATCAAAACGATATTAATTTTAATATTGATTATCGATCGGTAATATTTTTTATCGTCGTCTTTTTTATATTTTATCTTTATTTTTTGTTTTTTGATTTTTAATAAGCCTACATATATGACATAGACATTTTCATTTACCTTTATGATATATTTTCTTCTGTATTTTGACATTTTTTGGTGTTGTAGTCGTTTCTTCATTTATCTTTTTTATAAGAATTGATTTGACATCATCACGGTTGATTAATATGACGCTTATCTGATATCTTGTTGATCTTCCCTACTTTGGACCATGAACGGAATAAAAATTTTATGTTATGAGGCGAATTAAAATTTCTGGGGGACAAAATAAATTTTTAATAGAAAATATATAGAAAAAATCTAAAATATATAACAATTTTAAATTTTCAGAGGATAACTGCCCCCACCAGTCCCCTCGGTCCATCCCTACTTTGAGTCGTCAGATTGGATTTGGATACTTGATTTTGCGTTGTGGTTAACTTTTCACGTTGCTCGAGTTTAATTTGTAATTTATTGGTAATCTTTCAGTAGTTTAATCTCTTTTGTGATTCGTTCATCGATGTAATCATATATATTTGTACTATCTTTGTTCAAATAGATAGAGATAATAAAAAAATCATCCTTTCATCACCTCTATAGTTCTTTCGAACTTCGTTCAAGTCTTATCCCATTCACCATCAGTCGATCAACTTGCCCGGCTTGTTATAGGAAACTACTGATTTATTTATTGTATTAGGTAGAAATTAGACGGCCAATGGAAACAAATTAAATGAATTTAATAAACTCATGAAATCAAAATCTAAATTAAAAATCCTCATTTATTAAAATCAAATTTGTTTGGTTGTTAGTGTTTTTGTGTGGAGTAGGAATAAATTTTCCCTGTGTCTTTTTTCATATAATAAATATTTTATTTTATTTTGGTCAACCTAACCTAACCTAACCCAAAAAATATTTATCCTCATCCGAATCCGACCCGATCTAAAAATTTTATATCCTTCATCCGACTCTGATTCGAGCCGAATTTTTAGAGTATATATCATATTCGACCCTACTCGGTATAAAATAAGGACTTAATTAAAAATACTAATAATTTTTTAAGGAAGTTATATTATTATCTTCAGGTCGGGTTAAAGTTTTTTTCACCTTCCACCCGAATATGATTCGACCTGACCTCACCCATTAGAAAACCAAACCTAAACCTGAATTTTAAAAAAAAATCCGACTATATCGAATTGGGTCGGGTCAAAACCCATCGGATTCGAATTATATTACCATCCCTAATGCCAATTCATGTGAGAGGCAAAGTCGGAATTTTAGTGTCAGGAGACCCCCAATGGATTAATAAGGATCAAAATAAAAATGTACGGACTAAATTAAAAAGATTATCAAATTCAAATATTTAAAGTTACTTTATCCCTTTAATTTACCCCCGCATCTAAGTATCTAACCTTTTCAATGGTAAGTAGATGCATGCATGCATTTCATTTTCTTTTCTAAACAAAAATGAAATTCCAATTTGACGTTGCAAATGTACTTTTGATTGATGGAATTAAATCATTAATTGGGGAATTAATTAAATAACAACGACAGATTACAGAATTTAAACATTGTTGATTTTCACAAATTAAATGCTCTCAAATTCTAATTTTTACCTTAAATACGAAACAAATATTTGCCATTTTGCTTCATTTCCCTCGTAATTCTCTCAAACAAACGCAGCTTCTGATTCGGGGATTTCTTGAGATCCCAAAATAGAAAGTCAAACTTTCAATCTCTGTGCACAATATTCAAAGTCATCATTATTTTGGTAGTGATTACTTTGTTTTTCTTTTTGAATAACTTCTGTTCCGGTCAGGTTTTCTTAGACTCTTTGAAACCGAAGAAGGAGAAAAACAAAACTTTCCCGGAAAATTTTTCTAGCGGATATCCTCCCGTGAAACAAACGGGAAGAATTCTTACAGTTTTTTAGGAACTGGGTATTTCTGGGCTCTTTGTTTGCTTTTGGGGCGAGTTTAAACTCCCTTGTACGGGTACACCATTGAAGGGGATTTTGATAGGTAAGGCAAAACATTTTAAACAAGGCTTTCATTTATTTTGTTATTCCTTGATTCCCTTTAGGCTTTATGAATTTAGCATGTTAATGTGTTTGGCTACATGCGTTGGGTGAAGCTGTAGGAATTTTATGTTTATTAATTTAATGTATCTGTTTACATGCGTAAGGTTTTCTGAATTTGATATTTTGTTGCATTAGCATAACCAGTTTATATAATAGCTAGATATTTCTGGTTAACTTGTTCTTGGAATAAATATTGAAGTTAAACTTGGATTTAATATCCTTAAATGGCGTGCTAGTGTCTATTGATTAATCAGGTAATGCTTCTTTTTATTTCTTTGTTTCCTTTCATATTTTGATGCAATATCATGTATTGCAGAACACTAGTGTAGCCTGAGGGGCTCTAATAGGTTTACCATATTCTACATACACCTATGTTTGGAGGTCCGGTTACAGTTCCTATCAATAGTCCGCATTTAAGGAGGTCCGGTAGCAGAGTAGTGATATCTGATCTAGGTACAAGAGCTCCATAAGCTCATGTTCATTGAAATCAAAGGCTATTATCGATTTAATTTTGCTGCATAGACCTAATATTTTGTAGAATAATGGTCAGGTGTAGAACCAGGAAATGTTGTGGAGAATAGTTACTCCCATCCCTTAGAGCTAAATGGATCGAAGAGTGCAAATATACCGTTGGTTACTGCTGCAAGTGTGCCTTCGCCTACGTTATTATGGAGACTCAAGGTTTGTTTTTAATGGTATTGTTGCTGTTAATTATCCATTTACTTTCTTTAAATAAATGTGAAGTGGTTGAATTCAAAGAACAATTTAATCCACAGTTAGAACTTGTAGTTTGTTCTTACTTCTATTTACAAGAAGGCAAAAATACTTGCATCTTTTGGTTATTTCTCAACTTTCTGGGATCCTAATCTATTTAGATATCCAGGTACTATTGTTCTTACTCTGGGGTTTCATCTGTGGTAAGGTTAGTCATAGTTTATATTCTACTCGTTTCAAGATATACAGTTTATATTTAATGTTAATAATGGTTGTATATAAGTGTTACAAGATTCAATCACGTTGCTTGCAAGTTCTCACCATGTACCAAAATATTGCAGACTGGATGGCAATCTGTAATGAGAATGAGTGCAGACTTACGGGACCTATTCCTGTACGAGGCATTTTTGTACTATAATCCTCTTCTTCTTGTGGTTAGTTAAAATAGTCTGACATATAATAAACTATGTTAATATATATATATACTTCATCTTGCACGTGTGTTCAATTGTATGTTTAAGAACCCTGTATAAAAAGTGATTATTTCTTTTGGTTTTGACGATATAGACTATAATGGTATGGCTTTGGGGAATCAATTTATGGGTCTTTTCCCGGTCTAATATCAATTATGCCAAAATTTTCAATCTCGATCAGAATCATCTTACTCATAGAGAAATATGGAAGGTAATTGAATTTGTCAACCTAGCATTAGGCCATCAGATCTTTTAATCAGATTGTCTATATGTGCTGATGGTTCTTATGCCCGTATCAGTTTATGGGTGAAATTTACTTGCTTGCCTTGTTTCGTCATGTCTTGTTTTTCAGCTAATGATATATCTACATAAGCTCAATTGTCTATTGGTACAATCAGTACTAATAGTGCTTCATAATTTTTCCCAAATAACTCTACAATGTTGATTGCAGTGTGCTACATGGATGACTATCATTGTTCCATCCAGTATGACAGCTTATCTTTATCTCTATTCTAATGGAGAAGTATCATTAGCTGCCTCCCAACCAGTGTAATAGATGCATCCTTTCTTTTTTGTATTACCACACGCTCTTGTTCCCAGCATGAATGACAAGTTGATTATCATCTTAGCATTTTCAGCATGAAGAC